TTATTTATCTATGGTTAATGCAAACTTTCGTTTTAACAGTTTTCACGTTTGCACCCAAGTTTTTTATATTCTTGCATGAATTTTTCTTGTTTTTTTTTCTACTACAATACAAGCAAGCAATGGAGCAAATAAATATTTGATTTAATATTTCAAAAAATCAGTTTAGAGAAAAAAAAGCAGTGTATATTTTTCATTGTTTACTTTTGATATTTCTTGTAATGCTGCAACATAGCAGATAAATAGATAAACTTACAAAAATATATTTTGTAGAAATGAACCTAATTTATTAACAACTTCAAGCAAAAGTTCAAGCTTTCGTCAAAAAATCCAAATTTCCAATTTTATGTTTTTGAATCATTTAAGATTAAAATTGGACAAAGTAAGTAAGTGGTATAGGTATAAGTGTTTATATATCAGCAAAAATTTGACATTTTGCCCACGTTTTCAAAAAATAGCAGAATTGATTCCAAAATTTTAAAGGCAATTCCATGAAACTCGTTAAGAACTCGTATTAGTTTTACGAAACGATTGGCCAAGCCGTTTTTTATATCTTTTTAGAATTGCCGAAGTGAAAAACTTTTCTTTCACTTTCTTGCTAAATATCCTAAAGCGATTTTAAATATATGAAAAATATCACTCTTCTTTTATCTATGCGTGCAGATTAGTTTTCTTCGTAATCAAATCTTCGTAAATAAATGTTAAAAAAATGTTTCGATTAAAACTTCACATGGCGATAGAAAATATGAAAATGTGATCTAAATCTCAACGAACAAGTGGTTGAATTATAAAATTTCAATATAGGTTTGAATAATGAGCTGTGCATTATTTATTACATACTTGTTCACTATATGTAGACTATAATTTAATAAAATTCGATTGCATATATTCTTAAAAGTTCTTATATCTTTAATCCGTTTGAAAGTCAGAAATCGTATTGATTAGTTTTGAACGATAGATGGCTCTATACCACTATTAGAACTTTGGAATTTTCGGTATATCTATATATAAACAAGTTGATCCTATGCATAGTTCTCAGTATAGAAGTCTTTTTACATCCGGCTGTCGTAGAGGTAGGTTAATGTTTCATTTATTTATTGTATAAAATAACTCTTAATATAATTTAATAAATTGTTACTTTATTATTAGCAGGTAGAACCACGCAAGACTAACAAAATGGTTGCCCAAAAGAAACAAGTATGTATTTACCTATTTGACACGTGTTCCATAACCAAACCAAACCAAACCAAACCAAACTTATTACTAACACGTTTTTTATTTTGTGTTTAGAAAAAGGCTTTGGAGTCGATCAACTCTCGATTGGCTTTGGTGATGAAATCGGGAAAATACTGTTTGGGTTACAAGCAAACGTTGAAGACCCTCCGTCAAGGAAAAGCTAAGTTGGTAATCATCGCCAACAATACCCCTCCATTAAGGTGAGACTATTGAGAAGTAGTGTTTCCCACAATTAAAATAATTTATAACACAATCATATGGAGTCTTGTGAGAGACTACGAAGTATGGTTATCCGCAGCTTAAATGCATAGCCTTAAAGCTTGCTAAGGGAAACCTATGGAGTAGTCTCGACAAATTACGCTTTGTGATATGTAAGTAATCAATTTATATTAATTCTTAAGAGTTTCGGTGGTTTGAAATTCATATCTTGTTTGATATTTACTGAAATTCATTGAACCTTCGAGAGGCTTGGCTTTGAAATTGCTTAGGAAAGCTATAAGAAATGTAAGTCATTTCTTGCTCGTTGTAAATTAAATAATGAACAATTTTTTGAAGTGATTGGTTTATAATGTACCAATTAGGAATTATTGCATTGTTTTTGCGATCGGTTTATAATGTAACAATTAGGGATGATTACATTTTTTTGTTTGTTACCTTAGATTTACTTATTGATCTTTTTATGATTGTAAATAGGAAATCTGAGATTGAGTACTACGCTATGTTGGCTAAGACAGGTGTGCATCATTACACTGGAAACAACATTGAATTAGGAACAGCCTGTGGTAAATATTTCCGAGTGTGCACATTGTCAATCACCGACCCAGGAGATTCTGATATTATCAGAACATTGCCAGAAGCACAACAACAATAATTTATATTATAAATAAACAAAAATAATATAAAAAAGGCTTTTTATTTATCAACCAAATATATTTAAGTATTTAAATTGAAATTACAGAATCACCAATTACCTTATTCAACCACATAATCATAATTTATACATTTTTTTTATTTCCACTCCCCAATATTTTCCTTCTTTGTGTGAACATATGCAAGTACATTTGTGGAAACAATGGTATGTACAAAAACATAATGAAAAGTAAGAAGTAATAATAGCTAAAAGTAAAGTTGTACTTATTTGGCATCTCAATTGACCACATCTTGTGTTGTTTCACGTAGCTTTGGGCATAATAAAAGCATAGCAATTCTCCTGTTACTCCAATTGGATATAAAGCAATAAATGTAGTATATCTGAAAAAATATAAAATATGTATTCCATGTTATGTCGCTGTAATGTGATGAATGTGTTTACAAATCAGCTTATTGATAAATTATTTTATGGAATTATTATTTCTTGACATAATGATGTAGTTAAATGTTTGTGAATTATTTACTATTATTATGCAATTTTTGATTTTAATGTGCATAAGGTAAATATGGAATAATTGTATGTCAATAAGATTTGGGTGCCTACCTGAGCCACACCAACAAATGTGGTACTACATTCAAAATATTCATAGCATAATATCCATATCGAATGATTTCAGTGATTGACCATGCTAACAAGGCAAGGGGTAATCCTGGTGAAACTTGCGCTGTGGGTGTTGCCATAACTACTCCACAAACAACCATTACTCTTGAGAGCACTTGGAATGTTGTGATAATTGGATTACTTGGAACTAGTCCCGTGGATGCATGGATAATCTAAAATGAATGAACATGGGTAACAATTTTGATTTATTATTGGGACTGAAGCCAAATTTGAATTTTATTGTATTTATATATTTTGCTCTTTATTGCAATTATCATCTAACAGTGCATACAGTGCAGTTCTTTATACTCAATTACTATTTAATTTACAGAGTTATACTCTGCCATAAAACTACTAATAACGTAAAATGTTAATTTTTTTAATAAATGAGTTTTGGTGATAATAATTAAGATGTTAAATGCAATAATTGCAACTCACACACTAACCCAAACTCCAAGTTGAATTTAAAATAGATATGAGATGTATCTTATTATATTATGAGAAAGGTAAAATCGTAAATCAAAGAAGAGTTTAGGGCAAAATATATTATTTTTATATATTTAATAGATTATAAGAATTCTTATAACATTTTGGATAAATCAAACCGTAGTTTAGCTATATTGAACTTATGTGTTTATAAAAACTTATTTTGAACATTAATATGTATTTAGTTCTAAATTAATTTTAATATTTTTCACCTAATGAAAGTAGGACAGTAGTCAAAACTTATGGATTTTACATATTTTTTTACTTCCCGAAGAAGAAGTTTGTTTTTATCAAAACATCCGATTCGCTAATTTTATGTTTATTTACGTTTTCTCGACGTTTTAAGTCATTCTGAATAGAATGAGACCAAATTTGGAAAATCTATGTGTGTTTGTGTGTGTGTGAACAGATTTTTTGCCGTAGATCGACGTTTTCTCAAAAACGACTAGACCGATTTCAAAAATTTAAAAGCCATTCAAAATGTATCGCGATGAGGACTATCGTTTGTCAGTTTTGCGTTTCGATCAGCCGAACCGTTTCTTTGTAAATCGCAGAAAAGTGAAAAGTTCGAAAGATATTGGTTGAAAAGATACTGATTAGTTTTTGGTAAAGATCGGCCGGGCCGTTTTCTTGTGATGAAGTGTTAAAATTTTTTTTTTCGACAATTATTAGTATTTTTTTTGACTGTAGATACCATAGTCTTATATATCATACTAAAATATTACGGCCCTACGACAAGTCGTTTAATTTTACGTTTATAGACGTAAAATTTTTACGTCTTATAGAACTTACTAAAATATTACGGCCTTACGACAAGTAGTTTAATCTTAAAAATTCATTAAAGTTTGAGAAAATGAGTATACTATAGTTTTTTTGACGTTTGTTAAAATTAAAATTAGACGATTTTCTTGGTATGACGATAGAGTACTTGGTCTTAATGAATATACGAAACTATTAAAGTCTTACGGAAACTGGTTCAATTATAAAAATTGTTGATTTTTGAAAATTTGCTTTAAAAAATACTCCGAGTTAATGTGTTTGTTCCTTTTAAATTATGTGTAATAAATCCATTCGGAATACTCGTAATCACTCATAAATTAATTTATTATTAATCGATTATTTAAACATATCGGGAAGTTCATGTAACTTGCCTCAAGGCAAAATACCAATACCAACTAGTTTAAATATGCATTTAAATAAATTGATTAGAAAGAAATAATTTACAATGAAAATGTAAATTCAGAAAAAACTTAATTGATGATTCAGAAAATGAGAAGTAAGACCAGAAAGGCCGGTATATAAAATCGTCAGATCCAAAGTTCACCAGAAATCTTAGGAGTATTGTATATTATATTATAATGAATGCATATCATTCTGGACTTCAATATTGTTACTCCCAAGAGAGTTTCTGAAGATATACAAAACAAACCTCCATAACCGCAGCATTTTGAAAAATAAATACTGTATTTTTAACTGTTTCCCACAAGCCAATGCTGCTTTTATGTAAGTGGTAGTATGCTAGTTGATATAATAGGTAGCTCCATCTGTAAAGAGAAAACTTCCGTTAAATATGTCATGCAAATGTCATTTTAGCACAAAATCACGAATATTCCTTTTTTCTAAATATAATACATTTCTGAATGAAACTTTAATTAATTAACATATCACCATTTTCAAAATTTTATTATTCTCTAGTACTCACCCTAACACTAGTATGAGGTTATAGGAAAATAAATAGGTTTTAACCAAAAACGACTGCTTTTTTTCAGGTTTACTTGCTTTTGCACTTTTTGTAGGATTGTTTGCCATTTTATGATATTTTCAGTACTATTTTTTAATAAATTAATTGAACTTCCTAGACAATTGTTTATGAAGACGTTAACTAAGCATTTTAATTATTTATTCATTGACTAGCAAAGTTCACCAAAGCGTTCCATGCACTTAGCATTTGCAGCGGTTCACAAACTGTGTTGCACAATCAGAACATGATAAGAATCATATATGTATGAACATTCACTACTATCACTACATAAAAATATTAAAATTCTTAATATTACAATCTCATAAAAATATAAAGTCAAACTAGTTGTGCATGGCATCGTGCCTTAAGGCAATTGCTGGAACTTCCCGTACCGTGATGAAATATTCGAGGAATATTAAATGTCTTCAAATAGATTATTATAAATACTGTAACTTATATATGTTTACAGAAAAATTAATAAACAAAACTTAAGCAATTGAATTTAAAATGAAGGACATTTTCTAATATTTATAAGAAATATATAAACTTAATTGCAAAGTTAAAATGATTTATTTAAAGTATATAAATGAGCTCTAGAATTTTAGCTAGAATTAAGATTGAAATTTGAATTATTTTAGTTATTAAAAAAATATTTTTTGGAAATTAAAACAAACAAAAAAATCCGAAAGCAATCATTTTGTCAACACAAGCAGAATTTTTTTTTGAAACATTCAAATCGGATGCTTAATTCTCTCAAAAACAGCCGGACCTGCCTTTGCCAGAAACCAATAACTACTTCTACCCGGTATTTCAAATTGAATGTTTTTTGGTTCATTCAAATCGGATGATCCGTTCTCTCAAAAAATCAATTTCTATTTTCTGCACTTTTTGCTCCGTATCTCCAAAACGGCTAGACCTGCCTCTGCTAAAAAATAATCAGCACATTTCGCTCTCAATATGAATCAAATATTTTTTTACTCATTCAAATCGGTTGATCCGTGCGCCCGAAAACGTGGACAAAAAATTGAATCTAATAAAACACATAGTAATCTCAAAAATTCGAATATAAAAATGTTTGCAGTGACTTTACGTTTCAAAAGTTTTTGAACATTCTGGCAAACCTTAGAAAATAAAAATGTATGTATTTGTATTTGTGTGTGCTTGCATGTGTGTATACAATTTTTTGTCCACGATTTCGGGCGCACGAATCAACCGATTTGAATGATTCAAAAAAAAAAAATTACTTGTATTGACGAAATGAAGAGCTGATTAAATTTAGGGAAGGCAGGGTTAGCAGTTTCGCAGATCTAATGAAAAAAAGTAAACAAAAATGCCATTTGGCGGTCAAAAATGATCATTGCACACACGCACATCAAATTGTCAGATATTTTATAGAAATTTTAATAATAAATATAAATTTTGTTCAGATGTCTATCGGTTTAGTACCAATGTTTAACTCATTTATAAGGCGCGGTACGGGAAGTTACAGCAATTTGTCTTAAGGCACGATGTACCACTAGTTAACTTCCCGTAGGGTAAGTTATTGTTATCGTGCAAAAATCGAAATTGAAAATTTTACCATTTCTCGACGTTTTGAAGGTTTCTGAACATTTTGGCATACCTCAGAAAAAATGGATATGTGTGTGTGTTTTGTGTGTCTGCATTTTTTCGTTCACGATTTCGGGCGCACTGATCAACCGATTTGAATGGTTTAAAAAATATTCGATCCCTATTGATAGGGAGATGTGCTGATTAATTTTTGGCAAAGGCAGGTCCAGCAGTTACGGAGATAAAGAGCAAAGAGTGCAGGAAATAGAAATCAAGTTTTTGAGAGAACGGAGCATCAGATTTGAATCATCTAAAAAACATTCAATTAGTAATGATTGGGAGAAGTGGTTATTAGTTTTTGGCAAAGGCAGGCCCAGCCGTTTCGAAGATACAGAGATAAATCTGCAAAAAATGGCAGTTTTTGGGAGAACTAAGCGTTCGATTTGAATGATTCAAAGAACTTTCTGCTTGTTTTAACAAAAATAATTGATTTTGGAAAAAAAATGTTTAAAATTTTTTTTTCAAAAAATTTTTTTTGTATATCTAAAATAATTCAGATTTTATTCTTAATTGTGACTAAAGTTCCAATATACTT